GACTCATGATCCTTGAGGTCCCTTCCAACCCTGTGATTCTCTGATTCTGTGATTTTTGGGGAGCTTTCTGTACTGGCTGTGTTTACTGGTGTCTAACAGAAGGTGAGCTCTCATTCCAGTTTTCTGTGTGGGCTCCTCTCATGCTGCCAGCTGCAGAGATGGACCCCCTATTACTACTGGGTCAGACCAAGAGCTCCTTGACCCTATGTGGGTTTTGGTGATGGGGCCGGTGGGCTCCCAAGCCACTGGAGATGGATGAGCAAACACAAATTGCGTGATTGCATACGTTTCATTTCTCTTGGAAACCAGGCTGAAAGAGCCAGCTCCACCATTCCCTGTGGAATAGCCTGAGATCAAAAACATTGCAGAGGTAATGAGAACAATGCTTCCTGCATCCTGGATGGGATCTTTTGATGGTGTAAACTAGTTCTTTGCCATTGGAACCAGCCGTCAAATGCTGATTTGCAGCAGCTGGCCTGTGATTGCTGCTTGTGCTGTGCTGGGGTTTCAGTGGGCTCTGCTAAGGCATGCCCAGGTAGCCGGAGGGAAAAAGTGGATTAAGAAATGCTGAATTTTGATCTCAAGCTTCTGCTAATAGAGAGCAAGCCCCAATGAACAAAATGGGGATGCAGAAGGGAGACCAGGTCTTTTCCCAAATTTTGGTGACTTCCAATGTGCATCACAGTAGAGTGGAGCAACCTGGGATATGCTGACCTGCATGGGGTGGGTTGCTCTGATATAGGTCCTTCGTGCTGGGCAGGGTCTTGCTTGCAGACCAGAGCCCAGACTCTGTCCACCATGGGATAGAGATGTCAGGAGAGGTGACCTGAAGTGTATCCAGACTGTTCAGCTTTCCTGCTTACCTGGAACTTTTCGTTTGTGCCTCTAAAGTAGAAGCTAAGAGCCAGCCTAGCCCTGAAGCACCGGGCTGTTCTTTGGTTCTTCACTGTATGTCAATAAACTGTCCCCATTACTGGGTTGGACAATTTCACTGCTGCCTTCCCTTCTGTGTGCCCGGCTGCCTTCCCACAAAGCTCGGGGAGGAAAGGAGCAGCTTGAACAGCCTGTGGCTGCTGTGAGCAGCGGTTGGCACAAACAGCATGTTGTGAACCGCAGAACCAGGGAATGCAGCAACTGAGCTGGTGTGATCTGGGACTCTGTAAGAAGAGAAGGGGAGATAAGGAAAACCAGGAAAAGTGTCCTTGGAAAGATAAACAGAACAGAAGAGCGAGTTACAGTTGAGTTGGGATGAAAAACCACGGAGGGCAGCAAAGGTGTATGTGAACAAGGAACTGCAAACTTTCTAAAAAGGAATCAGAATACCCCCACTGAGCCTGAAGGTGGTGAGCTGGGGGGATCCCTGCTTGTCACCTCCCCCTCCTAATGCTCCACGAGTGTCTGTTTGCCAGCACCTAAGATCAAGGCAGTATGTGTGGCACCAGGAGCAGGAAGGGTGGCAGTGCTGTCATTGGGCTGTGACTGACTCCCACTGAATGCTGGTGCCAGAAGGGGTTCCTGGGTCCTGCAGTTTAGGCACCATTGCTGCCTCTCAAAGCAGTGTCATTCCTCCCAGTCTTCAGCCCTGAAACCCTCAGCCGTGGCAATGATGGAGAGCTGAGACCCTCTTTTTACATCACCAACAATACCTTTCCTGTCTCCTTTTTCCCATTCACCCACCCACTGCCTTTCTGCTCCATCTTCTCACCCCTTTCTGCTGGAAAGCTGGAGATTGGGTCTGCTCCCAGGTGGGGGTGGCTCCTGCACGCAGCTGCACTTTGTGAGTACGGTTCCTCCTGCAGAAGCTGACACAAAGTCCTGCATGGCAGCGTGCAACAACGCTGGGTGCACTTCTACAAGGAATAAAATGTAAAAGCTGCCTCTCCACAGCAAGGGTGAGCCCACAGTCAAAGAGGAGAGCAGCAAGTGCTTAACCTGGAGCTGAGCTGAGTGTACACCTGCCTCTGTGGCTGAGAACCATCTGTGTAGGAAATTGATCTGCAGAGGGACAGCGGGAAACAGACATGCTGAGGTAATGCACAAGCGTGGCTGGAGGGAACACACCCTGCCCCTGGCTGTCCTGCCCCAGGCGTGGGCTGCAGGCAGTGCTGGGCCCTGGATGCTCACTGTGCCCACAAAGCTGCTGTCTCCACTTGTCCTCAGATCTGCTGTGACTTTTGCTCCCTCCCATCTGAGGCTGTGCACTGCTGCAGTATTTAGCTGGATCCTGGGTCACCTGCAAGAAGGAGGAGGAGGCTGCAGCTGATGGAGCACAGGGTCACAGCAGGGCTACTTCCTGCCCCCCAGGCAAAGCCATGCATGAAGGCTGGTGGGGGATGTTTTGGTGTCTGAGCAAACCCAGGCAGTGAGTGCCAAGTTGAGGTGAGGGATGCTTGAATTCTCCTGTGCTGTCTCAGGAGCTGATGGCTGACGTGCACTGATGAGACCTGCTCAGCTGCAGGAATCAGCAAAGGATTCTGTCTGATGACGCAGGGCTCAGGGTCCCGCGGTGTGCGCACATGAGCTGGGTAGGGGAACAGTGCTGAGGATGCAAGGTGACAGATCAAGTGCTGCACAGAAATAGGGCAGTCCCAGAGCAGAGTGAAAGCAAAGAGACAGCAGTGAGGAGCTGCTTTTGAGGAGCCTGCTGACATGTGGGCCGGCGTGGTGACTGAGTTCTCATCCGGTGTACTGATGTGGGCACGGAGCTTCTCGGGGACCCCAGCATCTCTCAGCACACCTGGCCCAGGCTGTGCTCCATGCAGTTATGGGGCCCTGGGAGGGAGCAGCATCCCATACCGCACTGCTGGCAGCGCAGCCTGCCAGGGAATTAGGGATTAATGTGGAACTGATCTGAGATGAAACACTTTGGATCAGGACCACGACCAAAAATATTTTGAGTCGGATCAAACTGAACCAAACCATTCTGTTTGTTTCCTGCTTTCCCAGCAGACAGTCAGCCTTAAAGGTCACAGAGCTGAGAAGTATGGCTGGGCACAAATACGTTTTTCTTTAGGAAAATGACGATGACAGAAAATTCCTAACTAGATTTTCCTGAGGGGTGAGAAATGAGGAATTCACTCCCCCTCCCTGCCCTGATTCAGCCTGTTTGTGAGGAGCTGAGGTTGGGGACAAGGGGAATGGCTTTGCACTAAAAGAGGGGAGATTTAGGTGAGATGTTAGGAGGAAATTCTTGACTCAGAGGGTGGTGAGATGCTGGCATTGCTGCCCAGAGCTGTGGGTGCCCATGGCAGTGGATGGGCAGCCTGCCTTATGGAAGGTGTCCCTGCAATTGGCATGGAACCACACGAGCGTTGAGGTCCCTCCCAACCCAATCACGCTGTGGTTTTATGGCTCTGTGGTGCTATGATCTCCAGAAAGGAGCCTGCAGGGATTCTGTCTCCTCAGTGCTGTGGACAGCAGGGGGAGGTGGCAGCTGGGACCCCCGTGTCCTCCTGGATCCCAAGCGGAGGCTGGGGCTCCTTCAAACAATTTCTGAGCCACTGGCATTGGGAAGTGGGAGTTTTTCCAGGTTTCAGGGACTTTGTCAGTGGAGTGTGAAGGTATGCAGACAGGTTTAGGCAGACAGGGACAAGAACAGTCAGACTCAGCCTTTTCAGCATCTGCTTTTTGATGACTCCCTGTATGCTGGCACCAGGCAGTGACTTGGGAGCAGACCCCGCTTCTGCCTCAAGATCAGAACCCCCATACTCTGCTGGCACCCCACGGGAATTCAGAGCTCCAGGCCAGGCTGGTGAAGGCCAAGCAACCTGGGGCTGTTCTCATCCAGAACTCTTCTGGAGGAGCTGCTGCGCGGTTGGGAAGCTGCTGGCTCTCCCCAGGTGCAGGTCCTCTCTTTCCCATACTCAGCTCCGTGCTGCGATCTCACACGCAGAACTGTCTGCAGGTGGGAGCAGCCCAGAAGAGAGCACGGCCGTGGGAGAGCACGGCGCGAGGAGCGGGCTGTGCTGCGAGGTGCGTGGCCCCGCACGCAGCCAGCTGCAGCCGCCGACCCCACAGCCGTCCCGGTTCCGGTGAGGGCTCAGCTCTCCCAGGCAGGTGCTTGGCTGAGCGGCCCTGGGGGCTCCTCGCTGCAGCTGAGCCTGGCGCGGCCGCTGTGCCGAGGATGCTGCTGCAGGAGGAGCAGAGCAGGAGCCAGGCACGTCCGTGTGCAGGCAGCCGTGCTGCATGGAGCTGAGCACAGGGACCCGGCCGCCCCGCGCTCTTCGCCTCCGCTGCTCGACGCAGCCTGGTTTGTGAGCCGGGGGCCGGGAGCACACGCTTGGAATTCGGCAGCGTCTCTTTAATTCGAAGAACGCTTTGAGATTCTCGGATGTGTTTGGCAACCGCGGTCTGTTTTCATTAGTAAAATGATAGTATATGATAGCAAAATCTGTTTTCGTTGCCCTTGTTGAAAGAGATGCCAAATGCAAATCCATTTAGAGAACGGATTTATCAGCTGTACCTACGAACGCGGTGCCGCGGCCGGGCCTTGCAGCGTCTCGCTGCCCAGGCTGGCAGCCGGGCGGCAGCTTTGCAGCAGCAGAGGGTGCTCTTCCCCTGCCCGGAGCTCGAACCGCGCAGCTCTTGGTGCCTGGAGCCGGGAGGGGAGCGAAGCCTCGTGCTTTCCCCGTGCTCGGGTGGAGGTGGTGTATGGGAGCCGCGCAGCCCGTCTCGGGGCGGCTCTCGGTGCCTCCCTGTACCTTCTCATGGGATTACCAGGTGTTATCGGCATTTCTGGCGTCCACCTCGTCCCCTTTTAACGCCTCAGCAGCCGCTCCTCAGAAGGTGTGTGAGGATGTACTGACCTCAAACGCCCGAGGGCTGCACACACCCAGCACAGTGGGCACAGGGGCAGCACCCCAACGGCTGTGGGTGCAGAGCCTCTGTGCTGAGCGTGCAAGCCTAGAAGATGAAGCAGTGCAGCATTAGCAACTTGTACTCATCACAGTAATCTAGAACACTTCAGGTTTATTTCTAGCACGGCTCTCTCTTTCCTGCAGCATCTGCAGTCCTGGGGACACCACTGCTGAGTCTGACCCAAATCTCTTGATGGAGGCACGTGGTGCAGAGGGGGGAATGTGAGAGCTGCTCTGCCCTGGTCGGATGGTCTGTATGAAGGTGCCTGAGGCAAGGTGAGCCCCGGGGACCTGCAGACAGGAGGGGGTGGTGGCACAGCATGCTTTGGGCAGGTGGTGCAGCCTGAGGAGCCAGGCCACGTCCTGCCCTGTGCGGGTGCTGTGCCCTGTGCAGGGCTGCAGGCAGCCAGGTACATCTGGGGGCGGCCGCTGCCCCGGCACTTCTCAGCTGGAAATACAGGCGGAGGAAGTGATTCACTCGAAGCCACCCAGTGAGTTAGTGGCAGAGCTGGGAATAAAGCACAAGTCTTCTCCTGCTCAAACCACGAACTCAGCCAGCTCCTCCAGGGAGGTCGGGTGCGTTCAAGGGGACCGTGAACTATTCTCTCGCCTGCTTCAGCAGTTTCCAAAGAATCGGGGCTGTGGAAATAACCCAGTCCCAGCTTCACAGCAGAAGCTCTGCTCCAAAATGCACTTGTGAGATCAGTTGTTTAGAAAAACATCATGAGCCCAAGTAACAAGGCTGCAGCTCCTGCCAGGGCATAGCACGAAGGTATTTGGGCAGAGGAAAGTGCAGTGAGCTGGCTGTGCAGACCCAGGCTCCAGCGTCTGTGCGGTCTCATGCAAATCTGAGGTGCCTGGGGGCTTCAATCACAGGCTCTAGCAGTGCATTAATGATTCACTGCCCTTCCTCTCACCACTGCCCTGCATGCAGTCTGCTGTGTGGCCCCTGATGGAGCTGGCTGCGATGCGGGGCACAGAGCTGCTCCCTGCTGCCTGGCTGGGCTCAGCCTCACAACACAACTGGGCACTGTGCCCCAGGGCCCACAACGTGACCATGAGCGGGATGCTGCTGCTCCTGCCCGTGGGCAGACACTGTGGCTGTGCTACCCTGAGCTGCATGCCTTGCTCTGCTGACCAGGAGCTGGCAACACTGATCTGCTATGGGCTGAGGCCCAGCAGCCAGTGCTGCTCAGGGAAATGCAATGCAGGCATGATGTTTCCCTCCTTCTCCTTCTCCTTCTCCTTCTCCTTCTCCTTCTCCTTCTCCT